TCCATAATATTCGAACTAAGCCAGGTATTATATTACAGGGTTCTATAGTACCCTACCAAAGGAAATTATAGGCCAATTAGGGGGTCCGCAATGTGTACCTATCGGTGTTGATATAATAGAGCAGGGGTGGCGAACCTTTAAGCACCAACGTGCCATTTTTTCTATTAAAAAAAAACGCTTAATGAGATCATGGACGTGCCGTCAAATAATTTTGACTTCGTGATTTTTGGGAAAATGATACAAAATAGTACCAACTCAAAACTATTTATTTACTATGAAAAAAAAACATTCTGCAATGTCTCAGTAATATGCGTAGTTCAACTTAAGTAACATCAGTGTGACTTCTGTTGTTTCAGATAAATAGCAAATAACAAATAACTTATATTAGGTTGTAAGAAGTTAGTTTAAACAGGACTGTTAATTATATTTTTTTTTGCTAGTCATTTATTGTGAGCTTGTTTTTTATGGTTATTAATTATTTTTTGACATTAATTGTTACATTTTTTGTCAATAATTGCCTATTTTTTGTTCTTTGTGAAATTTAATCTAATTGTTCATAGTGAACTTTGTGATCGGTGGCGTGCCCAAAATATTGTGTCGCTTGCCATAAATGGCACGCGTGCCATTGATTCGCCATCCCTGTAATAGAGTGTTGAATAGTGTATCTCGTGCATGTTTCAGTGCACGTTATTTTTTCATGATTAATCCATTGCCAATAGCCCATTAGTGCATAGTTTGTATATCCTTGTATAGTATAGTTGTTAGTGTATAGTTTATAGCCAATAGCTCATTAATTATACCAGGAGTTGGAACTTGTCTCCTCCATCACTATACTCCATCACTTATACTATGGTATCCGACGATACTATTTCGCTACTTTTGGGACAAGGATGTGAACAATCCTGAAACAAGGTTGCTATTTGGCGATCGCATGACAAAAATATTTATTTCGCAATCTTTATGTGCACTTTTTTAACATTAAATATTTCATAAATTTGATATTTCTCTCTTTTGAGTGAATAGTTTGTCCTTTTTTAGACATTTTGCTGCTATATATATTTAATTAGCTAGAGTAACGAAAGGTATAAGAGCAGATGTTAAAGCGAAGCAAGTAACTGAAAAAGAATTCACTGTTTACTTTTGGCACGCCTTAAGGGTTCTCAATTTCAAGCTCGGAGACTTTTCTCCTCTTACTTCCTCGCCGAAAATAACTCTTCGTCCGAGGAAGTAGGTATTAGGTGCCATCTCTTAGGGAACGAACTATAGTATATATTTAGACATAACAATCTAATTAAATTCAACAACTTTAATAATTTCTTCTACAAAAGCTCTTAATAATTATAAGAGTAGCCACCATACTGTCCAGACACCATCACTCTTGCACTCCCTGGCTGTTGAGGAGTGTTTGCAGCAACGGGGTAGGGTGCTGATGCAGAAGCTGCAAATTGTAATGGTTGGCTTCCGAAGGCAGGAGGTGCATATTGGGGTTGGACAGGAGTCACTCCCGGAATGTTGCCATTTGACTCTGGAACAGATGCTGCTTCTGGCCCTGGATACGTCATGAGGGTGGGAGTGTCTTCCTTGAAAACAATGACGGAAGCTGGTTCTTTTTCGTCGACTCCTGGTTCCGTTGATTTGAGCTCAGCACGGAAGCCATTTTCGTCTGCGACGTAGTTGACGATTCTGATCAGGCCCTCGTTGTTCGTGTGCCGAATTTGCGACCGAATGCATCACCCCTCTCACGCCTGAAGGTCCCGCCCTCATTGTGTCCCTCGTTGTACCCATAGTCGTAGTTGCCCTGGTTCTGCAATGAAAATAAAATTTCAATAGAATACATTACAATCTAAAACAAGCAACGAAACAAATGTAAATAGAACAGCTTATCGCGATTAGAATACGCGATTTCCTTACTCATGCAGTTTCCTCTCCGTAACCATGATATTCAAAAAGTTTGCCTTTTCCATCCGCCATTATAGTTTGTCTAGAGTAAGAACTCCCCTAGCCATTCGTCTTTATCCTGAAACAAGATTGCTATTTGGCGATGGCATGACAGAAATATTTATTTCCCTATCTTTATGTGCACTTTTTTAACATTAAATGTTTCATAAATTTGATATTTCTCTCTTTTGAGTGTATAGTTTGTCCTTTTTGAGACATTTTGCTGCTATATATATTTAATTAGCCAGAGTAACGAAAGGTATAAGAGCAGATGTTAAAGCGAAGTAAGTAACTGAAAAAGAATTCACTGTTTACTTTTGGCACGCCATAAGGGTTCTCAATTTCAAGCTCTGAGACTTTTCTCCTCTTACTTCCTCGCGGAAAATAACTCTTCGTCCGAGGAAGTAGGTATTAGGTGCCATCTCTTAATAAACGAACTTTAGTATTTATTTAGACATAACAATCTAATTCAATTCAACAACTTTAATAATTTCTTCTACAAAAGCTCTTAATAATTGTAAGAGTAGCCACCATACTGTCCAGACACCATCACTCTGGCACTTCCAGGCTGTTGAGGAGTGTTTGCAGCAACAGCAACGGGGTAGGGTGCTGATGCAGAAGCTGCAAATTGTAATGGTTGGCTTCCGAAGGCAGGAGGTGCGTATTGGGGTTGGACAGGAGGCACTCCCGGAATGTTGCCATTTGACTCTGGAACAGATGCTGCTTCTGGCCCTGGATACGTCATGAGGGTGGGAGTGTCTTCCTTGAAAACAATGACGGAAGCTGGTTCTCTTTCGCCGACTCCTGGTTCCGTTGATTTGAGCTCAGCACGGAAGCCATTTTCGTCTGCGACGTAGTTGACGATTCTAATCAGGCCCTCGTTGTTCGTGTAGCCGTATGTGCCGAATTTGCGACCGAATGCATCACCCCTCTCACGCCTGAAGGTCCCACCCTCATTGTGTCCCTCGTTGTACCCATAGTCGTAGTTGCCCTGGTTCTGCAAGGAAAATAAAATTTCAATGGAATACATTACAATCTAAAACAAGTAACGAAACAAATGTAAATAGAACAGCTTATCGCTTTTAGAGTACGCGATTTCCTTACTCATGCAGTTTCCTCTCCGTAACCATGATATTCAAATAGTTTGCATTTTCCTTACGCCATTATAGTTTGTCTAAAGTAAGAACTCCCCTAGCCATTCGTCTTTACTCTTGGTGGTAACTATGGTAACAAGATATAACTATTTATAGTAGGGGTGTGGTGTCATTGTTTAGGTCAGGTTTTGGTTTAGGTCGGCGAGCGAAAGGGTACCTTTTTCTTCGGTCTATTGTGTTAACTTTAGAGTGAAGGCAACCNTCCTTCCGCCATTATAGTTTGTCTAAAGTAAGAACTCCCCTAGCCATTCGTCTTTACCCTTGGTGGTAACTATGGTAACAAGATATAACTATTTCTAGTAGGGGTGTGGTGTCATTGTTTAGGTCAGGTTTTGGTTTAGGTCGGCGAGCGAAAGGGTACCTTTTTCTTCGGTCTATTGTGTTAACTTTAGAGTGACAGCAACCCTCCCTGAAATATGCTATTCTTATTTGTTAATAATTGCATGTTTTGCACGATTTTATAGGCAATACTTTTATATTTAAACATAAATGTAATGGGTTTTTATTCGGGTGATTTTTTATATACTTCCTATGTGTATTTATTTCTAACGTATTGCATTACAATGTTAACCAATTGATACAGGAGCGTAAACAAGTACAAACCGGTTTCATCCTGGTAAAAACAATACAGCTGTATAGTATCACCTGATAATTATAATTTTACATGGAATCTTGTAGTACGTCTAATAATATGGACAGGGACTGTAGTGGCAGGAGGGAGTTCTGACCGTAGACAAACTATACACTCCCAATTATGAAATATATGACCGTGGGTACAAAGCAAAATTGTCTGCAGCCACGATTACGGAGAGGAAAAAAGTGTGGAGAGTAGAGAAATCGTGAGACCTTGTAGCGTCTATTCTATTTTCCAAGAGTAAAAGTAGATAAGCAAATATTTGTTATGCAGAATTGTAAATTTCTTTTCGTTTCACTCTTATTTAAAACTATTTAAAGTAGATTTAGTTTAAGATTCTAAAATTAAAAATTTTAAAATGATAAAAATTAGTTTCTTAGCATTTAAACCTGATCATCTTTCGCTTCATTAACCTGACCTTTCTAAGTTGTAACATTTTCGGTTTGCTGGGAAAAACTTTTCCCATGTGGACTGTGTACGTTTTTGCATGAAATTCATTTTGAAAGTTAATACAACTTGTTGAGAAGTAAGTATATTTATTTACCGTGTAATAATTGTTAAACAATTGCGAAATATCTTTGTCTTACAGTGTTACATAATAATTAATATAATGCAATTATTTTATAATCTTATTGGGGGAATAACACTTTTAGTTGCTCCTTAATAACAGTCTAAAGTATTCTCTAGTTTTGTAATAATTTCTCTATTTTGAATAATAGTAAAAATGAAAATAAACATAACCGAGAACATTATTAAGAAGGTATAATTATAAATGTGGTTTAATATTATACACCGTAAATAAAAACTATGAATAATTTAGAGAATGTTTATGATAAATAATTTTGACTCCTATTCCGATTATATATTCAGAATTTGAGAACAGAAGTTATAGTGTTGCAACTGAACAGATTTCATCGTAATTTTGAAGGATTTGATTAAACCGTTCTGAAATAATTGTAAATTTTTAATCGTATTTTTTTTAAAACTTTATAAATAAAAATTTATTTGAAACTTTATAAATAGTTTCTGAAATTACTTAAGCTTTGAAGATATTAAATGAATATTTAAATTCCAAAATCGAAATAGTCTAATAAAACATAAAATATTGTTTTTAATTTGTTTTATAAAAATTATAACCGTAATATTAGCAAGTGACTGAGCCAGTTAGTATAATACGACAAACACAACTGCAATTATAACAGATAAAAATAACATATCATCATGTCAGAGACTTAGCTATTTAGGAGCCTTTTTTTATTTCAAAAGTTTGATATATTGGGAGTACAAATTATTTCGGTCCGTTTTTTGTGTGGTCAAAAATGCATTTATTTCAGAACAAAAGGAATGAACAGATTAATCAAAGTATTGTCCATCACTGGATACTACTTTTTCCCACCTATCAGGCAATTTTCGAATTCCATCTTGAAAAAATGTCTCTTCTTTTGAGGCGATCCAAGTTAGGAGTCAAATATCGATTTTTGCAAACGAAGTGAACCGGTGATCTGCAAAATCATGCTGCATCCGTCGGAACAACCAGTAATCAGAAGGGGCAATGTCCGGCGAATACTGCGGGTGCCGTAAAATATCCCACTTGAACATTTCCAAATAATTTTGTACGACTTTTGCGACATGAGGCCGACCGTTATTATGCAGAAGATTACCTTTGTCATGTATCCGGTAGTTTTTCTCTTAATGCCCGACTTAAAGGAATCAATTGTTGCCTATACCGATCTCCCGTAATGGAATCGCCAGGTTGTAGCAGCTCATAGTATGCAACACCACTCACCATTCTACATTGACCATTCTTGAAGCGTCGAAACCATTCCCTACATGATTTATCAGTTGGAGCTTTGTCACCATAAACTTCTACAAGCATTCAGTGCGCTTCAGCTGCACTTTTCTTAAAATTAAAGCAGAAATATAAATCCTCCCTCAAATGCTGCTTAGTTACCACAAAATTTGACATATTCATTAAAGTAAAAAAACAGTGTTTTTGTATGGAACTCAAAGTGATATAAACTGAATATTACTGACAGATGTCTAACCTCACTGAAACCACCGAAACCAGCTGTCACTATGAAACATTCATAACAGCCGGAGCCATCTTTTAAAATCGAACCGAACTAATTTGTACTCCCAATATTTACTGTTGACAGTACAGAAAAAATAATATGCGGAGGTAGAAGTTTCCGGACCTTCCTTTTTAATAAATTAATCCTATCATTTGGTAATTTCTGCCCTATGATAGATTGTACGATACAGTAGAACGACAGTTACATGGAGTTATTTTGATGCTGTATATTAATAATGATAAAAAAATTCGATTTTTGATATATTACTTACATCGTTTCTATGGTATTGAGTAATCGATGAAGTTCCGTCATCTCCAAGTCTCGTTGTTGCCATAGATGAATCGAACTGCGATTGGGCATAACTCAAAGACAGCACAATTGCAAGCACAGCTGCAAGAATCTGCAAAAGAGAGCCATTTTTAATAGCACCAAACAAATTACTCAGTGGTAGTTGCTTTCTAAATTTAGAAATAAGAAAACGTAACATGCGGAATGTTCTGGGTCAGTTTACAAACACTATTGGCTTCCATGAAACTGTTTATACATATTTATTAAAATAATACTCTGTTTTAACTCCACTAGATTGAAAATAATTAGAACTTTAGATTAAGTTAGATGGACGTGAAAAAATATTCATATTAGTTAAAGAGCTTCATAAACTGCTTGTTTAGCCCACCAGCCCCCACAATTGTTTTTTTCAAAAGTGGGCTCCGCACTTTTAGTGTTCTATTCGAATGATATAAAACTTAAAACCTAATAATTTTTGTTGGTTACCACTGCAACTTCAACAAGAAAACTGTGTTTGATTTTCTCATATGTTTGTTTCGATAAAAACTCATTAAATATTTAGCGATTTAATGCGAAAAGTTGATTCTTATTATTACTTACCAATTTTCAAATAGTTATTTTGCATTTGTTATTTTAGCCACGTGTAATTCTGTATTCAGATATACTTTTTCTAAGTATAATTATAAAAGGGTAACTGTATATCTTTATCCTAAAATGGTGTAGAATAAATACATGTTGTGCGATTACTTACATTATATATAATTCGCTAAATTCCAAACATTTTTACTTTTAAAACTTTATTAAATATCTCTGTAATCAACATCAGAATAAAGATGCCATTAAGTAAGAGATAAATAAATAACTTATCTCCCTCTCTCTCCAGAGTAGTCCCCAAAACCTATTTTTTAAGGGAGGGGGAAATAAAATTAAATTACACAGTCACAAAGGATCTTTAAATTTCACATAGAAATAAAAGAAAGTTATTAAATCCTAAAGAATATTAATTACTTTTTTTACCCTTCTTGTTTTTTTAAATTTTTCGAAGAATTTAAACAGATGATAATTCATGAAAAAAAAATTGAAATATTGAGGCTGACATTTAGGTGAATGCAAATATTTTATTGTAATTACTAAATTAGTAAATAAATTAGGGGAACCGGAAAGCGATACCGTTTCGGTGCGTTTGATTATTGTTATCAAGATTTTATTTTTAATCAATAATCCATCCATCCTCGTTAGCAACACCCTTTCAATGCCGGATTGAAAATGAATGGAAATGGATCGGAAAAAAAATGACTTGGTTTTAAAAGCTAGCAAATATTTAATGTACCGAAGCGACATTATTTTCCGGTCCCCCTAATATTTAACATCTTAAAGTAAAATTTTACTGAGGAAGAAGACATTTTCATAGAATTAAAGGAAGTATAAAGATTAATGAAGAAAATATTAAGTTTAAAATAAAGCTACCGTGCTCTCCATTGTTCTGTATGGTGCCGAATGCTGCAGTCCACGGAAATCAGAAAAAGAAAAACTGAACATTTTCAAAAAAAGTTGCCTAAAAATAATACTAAAAATCTTTTGGCCCAATAGTGTAACAAATAAAGACCTTTTGACAACAGCTAACATTCCATCTGTTAATGAGGAAATTTTGACTCGGCCATATACTAAAAACAGATAGAAACAATCCTGCAAATGTTGCAAGCTCATGAGAACCTGACGGAAAGAGAAAAAGAGGGAGACCGAGACTAACACAGCAAAGACTCATTAAGGAAGATCTTAGTAGAGTAGGCTTAACTGGAAGAGAAGAAGCGCGTTCCCTGTCCAAAGACAGAAGTGTGTGGAGAAAAAAACTCGAGCCTTATGTGCCAGTTAAGCATGAAAAGGATAAGTAAGTGAGTTAGCGAACGATATTCATGGAATTTCTTCTTCTTTGTTAATTAAGGACCATATCACATGACTTTTCTAGCCAATAAGGTGCCGCTGGCATCAATGAAAAACGTTTTCGAACTTTATCTTCTAATCTTACATAGAAATACACAAATTAATTAGTTGTTTGTTAAATTATTTACTTATTTGTTTATATAAGTTCCAAAACTTGTAATAGAAATAGATACGTTTCACTATCGAACAAAAATGGGATTTTTCGCTCTATGCAAAACGTGAATTTTACTCACCTTCATAGTTGGTCTGTAGAAGAATTGTTGGAATGAGAAATTTTGACGTTTTGTGTGGTGAATGTAAGGATTTCCTTACGTTATATACACAAGATGGTGCATAAGATTGGCAATAGACAGAATGGTTCAAAACTTGTTCCGAATTTAGGACTTTTGTCAACACTCATCATTCTTAAATCGCCTCTCACATATTACTTAGAATTAAAACTTGGAGATTAGAAGGCATTCTTAGAAGGAAATTTCTGCTGTCTGTCGTAATGCTCTTATGAGAACATTATTTCAAACTTAATCTCTTCTTCATTAAAAAGTACATCACTATTTTTTTTCCACTTTCGATTGTGTGAAAAATATGTAAAGTTTAACTTTAAGGTATTAAATATAGTCATTGTGATTTCGTAAAAACAATAAGATATTTGCTTTCACTGTTACTTACTTTTTATGTAATCTATTTTTTAAAGATTTTTTAATTAGCGGAAATTAAGCTGGTCTTAAAAGGGGAACTTTATGGCAAATTCTGTTTCACGCACGTAACTCTGCAGTTTAAAATTCAAAGTATAGCGAAAAGTGCGTTCAGGTAAATTTAGAATAAAATACGAAAAACGGGAGGATTCTGGGGATCTCGCCTCCCAAAGACACGAAGCGGGATAGAATCTCAGCGATGACATCCGACTTGCAGCGACCACAGTGCTGACGTGAAATGTTCTCAGTGGTAGAAGTCCCCTTGCAGTCAGGCTAACCGTGGGAGGTTCTCGTGGTGTTCCTCTCCATGTAACGCATATATGGATTAGTTCCCTCAAAAAGTCCTCCAGAAAGGCAAATTTCACCGAATACTTGAAGCAGGAGTTGCTTTGTCTTCTGGATTGGGTTGAAAATGGCAAGGCTACGTAGTTGAACATTAGAAGTCATGAAAATCATGGCCGTCATGGACAACATCAGGCCAGATTTTTTTTTTTGGGGGGGGGGAGCTCAGCTGTGCCGTACCTGTCAGTTTGTTGAGGATTGGGAACATATATTAATCCATCGTACCAATTTTAAGCACATTAGAGAGAAATTTTTTCATTCAAAAACCACCTATGAGTTCATAAAGCAGCATTATGGTCAAACCCTAAAATAAAAAGGGAATTGAGGGAATAGTAAGAAATTTGTTTAGTAACAAGGCGCCTACCTGAATCCTGATGGCCTCTTGCTGCCTATTGTTAGGAAAGATATACTTTAAATCTCTTATTGAATTTTCTCCTAAACTGTTTTTTGCGTTTTAATTTCATGCCTTTTGTCAATCTCTGCCTCTATGTGATTCCTCATTGAATTTTTAATCACTTGTGTTCCTAAAGTAAGTATATATATATATATTTATTAAATATAGTAATAGACATAAGGACTAGATTGAAAATAAACGAGAAATTTTGAAGAATTGCAATAGAAATTAGGAGAAGTATCGGATAAAAATAAGTTTTTTTTCTTT